ACATTATGAACACTGGAAGAGAAAATACAATGAACAGGAAATTTATCTGGAGGTGAGTACCCAGCAGTACCTGAAGGTTTATGCTCCTTTGGCTGGAGGGGGGAATGGTTACAATATGAAGTGTTCTCTTAGCACACTTTCCAGTATGCCTCATCCCCCTGATCTCAAATCCAAACTGGAGAATGATTTGTAGTTTAGGTTAGGTGTAGTAAGAAGAGGACTCTTGCGAGTGTGCAGGGAATAACTAAGTAGAGGCAGGAAAGAAAGGTCTTCTGAACTTCAAATGAAGCCATGACTGTTTGTGGGCAAATATTTTTGTACAGTGCTCAGAGGTAACTGCAATCTATCTTGTGAATTGGGAAGTAGCTTAACATACTTTAGACAAAAGACTGAAGATGCAGTCCTTACTGGTAGATATTTATTATACTTACATATCTATATCAGAAAAAAAACTTTCTTACATCAAATCTAGCTTACACTGGAGCTCACTCTTTTTTCAGTGGAGTTTTGCCACCTGTAACAGTGTCCACATTTAGCTGTGAGTTAAGAAAGCAGCATTAATTGCCATGCGTAAGTTGGAAGGGAATCTGGTCCTGTCTCACAGAGACTTGTAGGTCTGATCTGTACTATAATGCTGTACTTAAATGGTGAATGTGCAAAATATAGTCTGTTCTTACAGTCTAATTTATTATGTGTATGATGTCTGTCTTGCCTAATAGAGAGCAGAATAAAGCTAAATTAATTGAGAGCCAATTTTAAGTACTGTGAACAGAAATCTTTGTTCTGAAGCGTAAGCCACTGGAGCATGTAAGCAGGGCATTTTCCAGATGAACTCCTTTCCTGACTTATATTGTGACTAGAACAAAGAAACTTAGGAATGGAGACCAAAAGCTTTCATTTTGCTTAAAAGAAGTGCCCTGATAAAAGCTTAAAGTTTATTTGCAGATCTTTAGGCTTCTGGGGAGCTGCTAGCCAGGCTGCTTGTTTCCCTGTTGTTCACTGGTTGTGTCTTTGCCTTGCTTCATGATAGTTCATATAAAGAACTCTCTGACTTCATACTGCACATCTTGGGGCTTTATTTCTTGACAAAACCACATGCAAGTAGGGAATAAAATGAGGTATCTGCAAATAAGTAAATTGAGCTAACAGTACTTTGTAACTTGCAGTCTTATATAATCAGGATTGTGCCTGATAAGGTGAATAACCTTTACGAACCATAATGAAGGTTATTACATCTGTATTTATATGTGGAAGTAAATACATACATAAAGATGTTAAGTCACTTGCTGAGCCATGTAATGAATCAGTAGCTAAGCTGAAGCCAGGAATCCTTTTCCCAGCTTTCATGCAACCACAAGACTTTCTGCCTTGTTGATTATTAAAGACTTTTAGCAACCTGCAGTGAGCTGTGCCAAAACATATTTCTTCATGTTCTTCCCCTTCCTTTAATTTATTTTTTTACTCCATATTGTTGCAAATGTATGTTATTGTGCTGTTGGAGCAGTGTTTACCCTAGCATGCATGAATGGCTGTGAGCAGAGGTGGGAAAGACTGGAGGTTTCTGCTGAGTGCAAATTTGCCTAGATCTGTGAAGCTCAGTGAAGGTGAGTGCTTTAAACTTTTTGTGCTTTGTATCTAGGGTCTTAATTTAGGCCCAAATAGCAACATGAAGAGTTGTCCTGTGTAAACTTCTCTCTTATGGCCTTTGTAAGATAGCCTGCATCTCTGGAGGTTGAAGCCTACAGAGATGACCTGACACGACACAGTCCAGTCACACCACAAGGCAGTGGGAAATGCAAAAACATGACTTCTTTTTTCTAATTCAGCTATTTTTTAAATAAAATCAAATGTTACAGGTGGAAAAATACAAATGTGTATGGGTAGCAGAGACAGGAAAATCCTTTCACAGTCATTTGGCTTTGTCTTCCCTTGCATAATCCTTCTGCTAGATCTTGGTTAGCAGCAGCACAGGCCAGGGCCAGGTTGAAAAGGGACACTGCTACAATACTTGCTCAAGGCACCCCTGAGTAACCTGGAAAATTAAACTAACCTTTCTGCTGTAAGAGCTAATTTGCTCTGCTTGCAAGCATTAGTCACTTGTTTTTTTTGCTAAATTATTATATTAAATGGAGAAAAAACCAACAAGGTGGATCAAACATGCTTCTATACAATATGCTTATATGCATATACACAGTACATCACTGTACAATACCAAATACTCTTTCATTTACATCTGGTTCCTTACTTTGCCTTCTCTAGTATGCTACTGAATGCAGGTTCTTCAACACGTTCTGGTTTTTCAGCTGAGAATGCTGAAAAATTACCTTGATTCAGTTTTCAGTGGGATAATGAGTTAGAGTAAGGATAAAAGTGACTAAGTTCAGTGTGTGATGCCCACTTGGGATACAGTCCTGCATTTCCCATACCCCACTGTCTCTTCCTTCTCCTGCACATCCTGTGCAGGCTCAGGCCTTCTTGAGCCTGTTCCTTAGCCTTGCAGAAAACTGATGGGGAAAAAAGCATTTTTTTTCTGCCAGGTTGGTGAGTTGAGCTGGCTGTCTGAGGTGTCTGATGCATCTAAGGTCTAGAGTGAAGGTATAACCATATATGGCTTAAAATGGGAATTGCACAGCCAGGACAGGTAGAAAGAATAAAAAAGGAAACAGAATGGGAAAGGGCAAAAAAGCCTTCCCTGTTCAATGGAGGGAATACATTGATCAATTAAGCTGACTAGAAGTGCTGTCTCTGTGTTATTTCTCTTTAAATTCTTCCATCTTTTTGTCAGCCTTTTCTAATTAGTAAGCCCTTTGCAGCAGGCCTTGTGCATAATATTGCAGGTGGACTGAGATACTACTGCAAGAACAGAAATGATGATACAGTAAGCGTTAGAGTAAGTCCAGCTCAGCTTCTGGTAACTGTTGGATTGCTTCTTTCATTTCAGTGATAGAGGGTTTTGGTTTTTTTTCCTAGTGTGTATCACAGAAGTGACAGCATCCCTTGGTTAAAGAAAACAAGTCTTAATTGTTCTAGGTAACTTGTACCTTGCATAATGAGCAGAACTAAAAGGCAGAAAGTTTCCTGACTTGTGAAGCAGAAACTGGGTGAAAAACACTAGTAGAATGGAGCAATGGTTGTTCCATGCATTTCAAGCATGTGCAGAAGCAACACACGGGTAGGGTGTAGGGACGTATGTACAGGCCCCTTGTGTTTATAAAGTCATAAACTTCACTCTCCTGTGGTTTAGGCTAGTTATTCACTCTCCCCTGGTTTAGGCTAGTTATATTTTTTTTTCTTTTAGCTCTTTGACATACTTTTGAAAATGAAATATTAATGACCTGCCACAACACTCAGTGCCATAGTATAGACTGGTGGGCTGCATGCATTTGAGCTTAAGCCTTCCAATAAATCACAAAAGCATTTTCTTTCCAGGAAGTGCATGCTGCTGATGCTGCATGTATTAGGTGAGGCATAATATAAGAAGCCCTACTAAATACGGGGAGCAACCTAAGCTGTGCCTTTGGACACATACCAAATTAGGTTGACCTAGGTCTCTGTGTAGTTTCCTGTTGGAAAAGACCTGTGGCATCTCTCCCGGTGCAGGGTTAGCAGGGGCTGACTTGTGGCATCTGAGATAACATCTGGCTTGGAGAGTAAGGGCTGCTAACAGCTGAAGGCCATGCAGGGCCTTGGGGAAATGCAGCCCAGGCAGTTCTGCTTTGGCATGGAGACAACCACTGGCACAAACTGTAGTTACTTCCCTCATTAAATAGCTGCTACTGAAGAATCAAACTAAAACAAAAAAACTCTTTGTGGAGGACATCATAATTACAGGTAAGAGATTTATTTTTAGGGAAGAATTATTCAAGGATCATGAAACAAAATAAGCCAGCTTGAGGGTGGTGGAAGACATTACACTGGAAACATCAGTATTAATACAGCAAATTGTGGAAAACATGAAATTATGTAAGGTGCTCAGTTTTCAGTCATATCAGTAGGGTCATTAGCAGCAATTACAAAACAGCAGAATTTAGGGTATTAAAACTGAAGAGAAAATATATTGTCTTTTTTTTTTTTTCCTGAAGTACAAACCATTTGTAAAGCCCTCAGGGTCTTCCATAGCATGGAGTTATGCATGTATTAAAAAAGAGAAGCAGGCTTGTATGCTCTCGTTGCAATTTAACACTGACAAGGAGGAAAGTCTGTCTGAAGTATCTGCAGATAGGCAGTAGCTGCAAAGTTCTGCAGTGGTCCTCTCATTTTGGTGATCTATCAAATGTTAGCATAGGCATTTATGTGCCAGGATCCTGTGCAACTGGTATGTGACTCTTCATCACCACTGACAAAAAGTAAAGCAGCTCTGCTCTAACAGGATTAGGCAGTAATTCCCATGACTGTTAAAGCAACTGGAATCCATGGGAATGCAAGCTGGGCTGCCCCTGGGAACCTCGTTTTGAGAGACCTGCAGGCTGAATTATATCAGTCAATGTGTCTGAAATTATATACACTCTACTTGTCTGTTTTTTGGACTGAGAGGGTTCAATATATAAACTTTTGGGAAAAAAATAAAATTTTACTTTATATAAATAGTTATCTATAAAAGTTATTTTATCCATAGCAAATTAGGATCCAGATTCATTTTCTCTTACCATCAAGTGAGAATACCCTGCATAAACATTGTGTCTCTACGCACACAGTGGTAGACTCTTGGTAGAGCGTCATTGACATTAACAAAGCTACATCAATTTACATCACCTGGGAATATGGTCCATAGGACCTAAGTTACACTGGAAGATAATAATGATTTCTCTCTCAAGCATTGTTTTGTGAACTCAGCCATTAAAACATGGGAATTAATTAACATCTCAATATTACATATTGAAATTTAAAATATTCTAAAACAGCATGTTAAGCATATAATTTTAAAATTAATATGATTGGCATTTGCTTGTATGGTGGTTAAGCAATTCAGATTCTGTACAATACAAGCAAATCCACAGATTTCACTGAGTTTGTATACCTATGTCAAGCCTACCATCAGCACCAAGGTATTTGTGTATCATTTGTCCATTTTGTCACATCTAGATTTCAAGCCACATGGTGCACTTCTCATGTATCTGAAAAGGTATTTGAAACTCCTACTGAAGCTAATAGGAATTCAGCCAGTTTATGGAAGGTAAGACTAGGCTTCAGATAGATCCTAGGACTTGGACTATTGCACTCTTCATCTCAAAAGCAAGCTGGACACAAATTCAGACTGAATGAGGAAGCTTTTGCTGTTCATGTTCTTATTCTTTTACTTGGCACGGAGCGTTTTTTAGAATAAAGCCCATTTTCTTGTCTGCAGGCAGATCCATTCATATGGCCAATGCTTTCATTTGTACTTTCTGGTTGAGACCCCTCTTCAGTTGTCTGTAACAGAAATGAAGTGTCAGTGAAGGCACGTGTGCCTTTCAACAGGCAGCCATTTGACTTGGGTTCCCATTAGGTTAGGTAGCTCTGCCTGACTCTCCTCTCTTAGTGGCACAACTTCTTAGCTTTGAAAGAAATTCAACCATATGTGCACAAATGTCTAAGAGAAGGTGTGCACCCCAAATCTAGTATAATCTAGATAGCAAATAATCCTGCCTTAATTACTACATCCCTAGACAGCAGAGCTATTGCCTTCCCATAATTTGCAGCATGACTGAAAAAACTCAACATATTTTTAAGGGTGTTAGAAATAATACATGGTTTATCCAAAGCTGTGGCTGCAACCTAAGTAGTCCTAATTTGGATGCACGCCATCCATTCATACTGAAAGAGCTATGGTGGAAATGAAACCTTTGGAACTCTCCAAAAACTTGGATACTTTCCAGGCTGAAGGCTTGCTTAGAAAATCAAATATCCAGCAGTAGCACACAGCAACACCTAGAACTAGTAAAACTGATAATTGCTGAGATAAAATGTTTTTTCTGCCTGAAGTCGTGTTGCTGTTTGCACACAAGGTAGACAAGGTGAGGGGCTTGTCTATAAGACATTTCTCATTGGTCTGTATTACTCACCTCTGTCTAGAATTGCCCCAATAACACAATCCCCTCAGGATTTCTAGTGGTGGGTTATGGTCTGAGCTCAGTTTCAAGGCACAGAACCACTCACACCAAAAATGAAGGCACGCTCTACCAAAGTAATTTATATTTGCTTTGCCAAGCAACTATCTGAATAAGAAAAATAATTAAAAAAAAATCAAAACATACTTTTCTTTTACACTGTAAATTTGTAGATGCATTATTTTCTGTCTTCATTCCAGTTGCCTCTTCCATTTCTAAAAAAGGTAATAACAAATTAAAAAGAACCAGATGTAAGTAAGCAGTCAATTTAACAGCTGGCTGAAATAAAAAAATATCTAATCAGCTATTCCTCTGGGCATTCATGACTGAAAAATGATTAATACATCCTAAAACATTTTTCTGAGAAAATGTGATGAATGTATCAGGATTGTGTAGCCTGCGGGTATTTAGAGAAAATAATTAAATGAGCAGTAGCAGGGAGGTTCAGATAGATGTTTGAGAGCTGAATTCTGTGTTTGTCCAGCACGTTTGTGCTAGTCTAAGTCCAGTTGTTATAATCTCAGGAGATGGGAGCATTCAATGTAGAATGGGCTTGGATTATCCTTATGCTAATATTACCCAATGTTTTTTATCCCTGGATTGGTCCCCAGGTCGAAGATAAATAGAGCCTGAAAACCTTTAGGCTAAATTTCAGTCAGACAATCATGTTCCAGTATGTCAGTTTAAAAAAAAAGAGAAAAAAGAAAAAAGGAAGGTAGAGCACATTATGGACAGATTCACTAGTATTTCAGCAGTCTGTTTTAGGCCTGTGCTGAATAAATGTGCTCATTCCTTAACATACAGCACGTGTGACTAGAAATGAGTAGTAACACAGAGTCTGTGAGAGAAAGGATCGAGAGCAGGATTTTGCCTACATATCTGGATGAAGTACATGTGGGGCTTTTTACTTATTTATAATTCTCATTAAGAACAACAGTTTGGACACGTGATAAGAAATGTAATTGATTATTGTATGTAGAGGCCTAGATGATAGTGGCTGGTGTTTCTAATGGGTCATCTGGAACTGAATGAAAAAGTGTCCCTTTGTGTACTAAAGCATACATACCTGTAAGAAGTGCATCAATTGTCTCCACTGCATGTTTTGCATCTTCCATTGTGAAACACATTGGTGGTTTAAATTTTAGTATATTTCTATGGGGTCCATCTGCACTAAGAAGGATGTGATGCTCTTTCAGCCTGTAGAAAAAGGAAACATCTGTATTAGACACAGATATAAAACTATATTGGTTAGTGTCAGACCCTTCAGGCTGAATTAGAATTTGAAGCTTCTTTTTCTAGTACTATGTTATTGAAAGCTTCACAAATTTAAACTGAAAATAATGACTAACTGGTGGGAAATATCAGGAGAGTTTGATAACTGCACATAAGTTTTAAAAAATATTTACTTGTAAATAAGGTGAAGGGCTTCAGCTGTGGCTGGTGTTCGCATTTGTTGGTCTTTCACCAGATCCACTCCAACAAACAAGCCAACACCCCTGAAGTAGAGAAAAAAATAGACAGATGAAATCCAATGTCAGTAACCCAAACCTTCTGCTGCAAATGCAAGAACCGTTTCTAACAACTGCAATTCCCTTCCCTGGGGTGCAAGCAGGAAAGGAGCAGAAAAAAAAGAGGAGCCTTAGCTCTTCAGTCATCTTTTTGCACTGGTGACTTCAGACAATCAAGTGAGATAACAGGTATTTCTGGATAAATAAATGTAGCTGGCTCATTAAGGCTATGTGGCCAGTTAAATAATTAATAAATTGTAAAATAATTTTATTGTAAGATAAAGAATTTAGTAAATTGTATTATTTATAAATTTAATGATTTTTAAATAGAACAGTAATTTTATTTCTTTCTTATAATGCAAACCTCAAGCCAAGGAGCTGTGGAAGACAATTAACTGAAAACAAGAACTAAAAAAATCCCACAACCCAAAAGCACCCCACAAAACCTAAAGGTGGTCATAATGGCAGTAACACGAGATGAGGAAACCCCACACTAACATTGCCAAATGCAAGAGACCAGAGACTGGAATAAGGTCACCATCACCCCAACAGTGTGCTGACAACTGGGCTATTGCACAGGGATGGCTCTTTTTCCTACTCTTGCCTAGAGCTTTTCTAGTGGCTAAGCTTATACCTAACTATGCAGATAGATGTCAAACTTTTTTAAAAAATATGTAGCCTTATGTGTCCTTACATGATTAATTTTCGGTAACCATTTTTAAAAAACAGGTTAGCATAATCATGATATAATGTTTCTTTGTTCCTCTCACCCCAAACTTGTTGATTTTTCTGGAACAGTTATTTTTCTTCTCTGAAACACTGCTGTATGGCACCCACCTGATATCTCCTACTAAGGGATGTTTCTTCTTTTGCTCAGCCAGCAACTCCAGGAGATAATTTCCTACACGTGTAGCATTTCCTTGGAGATCTTCTTTTTCTATTATATCCAGCACAGCCAAACCAATAGCACAAGACACTGGATTACCTCCAAACTGATAGTAAAGGCAAAGAGGAAAACAAAAACCATCAGAAACATTCATCTGTGTCTATCCACGTAGTTTTTCACTTGCCCTCTCTGGCTTGGCAGGTCATGAGGAAAGCTTGAAGAGGTCTGGATTTTGTGCCATGCAGGCTGTGGAGCACCATCCTCCACACTTAGGACAGTGTAAGAGGCTCAAGAGAGGGGCTCCCTCTTCATCTGCTTCAGGTTCCAATAATTTGAAGTTTTCACAGCTGAAGTGTTGAAGATGCTCTCATTGGTTGCTGATTGCATGCACAGGCAAAATGCTCCCGTGAAGAGCAGTGATAGATCTGGTATGTCTTGAACTGGAGGGTTTAAGCTCCATTGAAAGTGTGTGCGTGTGGGTAGATTCATGGTAGCTGAGAAACTCAGTCACAGTAGCAGAAAGAGGACTCATTAAACAAGAATGCAGCTCCTCTGCAGCTCCAGTGCTTCCTGCTAAAGGGTCACTGTTTTGTTTTTCCCCAACAGCACATAGAGCCTATCCTAGAGAATGAAGTTGCGCATGGTGAACATTTCAAAGGGGAGAGAGAGAAGTAAGGAAGAATATATCTGTATGGATGTGAGCTGAAATGAATGACTTGCCAGAGAGCTAGTGCTGGTTCATATTAAGATATAACAATTGGTACAAAGCATATTTCAAAGTCTCTCTCCTTGCTTCTAGATCAGACTGTGGTTGACTCCAGCTTTTAGTAATACAATGAAGGATGCAGATGTTAGCTGAACCACCTGAAGAGCTTCTAAATGCAGAACAAAAAGGCAAACCTTCACCTATGAACTTACTGTATTGAAATATTCCAGTCCAGAGGCACCAAAGCTTTCAGCGATTTCTCTTGTTGTGACCACACAAGACATAGGGTGGCCATTGCCAATGGGCTTTCCCATGGTGACAATGTCAGGCACAAAGTCTTCACCTTGTAGCTGGAATGCCCAGAAATGTTTCCCAACTCTGCCAAAGCCAACCTGGACCTCATCAGCTATGAACACTCCACCCGCTGCATGCACATACCTGAAAACAAATAGAATAGCTTGAATAACTACTGCTGCAATACATGTTTTGGGTAGGCAATATAGGACAAGGGAGTTTTGGTTACAGAAAGTCTCCAGTATGAGACCAGATTAGGGAAAAAGAAAGAATGTGTGCACTGAAACACAGCTATAGCTATAGCTATTTCAATTGATTTTTTTTTTAGTTTGTTAAATATTAAGGAAAAAAAAAAAGGTGTTTTGATGCAAAATAGGGGTGCTGTAATGGTACCGCAGGTTTATATGTGGGACGGTTCAACTTCACCTGTCAAATTTATGGCCTGAGGATTAAAGGCAGAAAAGGAAAGACAATTATCCAGCTAAACACAATTAGTCGGCTGATGTTCCATAGAAGATGGAAGCAGAATCATACTCTTCAAAAAGTAGACCCACAGATAGCCAAGAACAAGAGAGGGTGACAGCTGAATTGATTGGAGAAGCCCATCATGAAAAACCTGTTTCTTTGGTTAACTTTCCAGTTATGCCCTTTTGAAATGAGGTACATACTCTGCCACTTTCTGGAAATAGCCCACAGGTGGAATTACTTGGCCTCCACAGCTCTGCATGGATTCGGCTATGAAGGCAGCAATCTACAAAAAACAAACTCAGGTGAGCGCTGTGTTCATCTATTTGGCCTTTGCACAAACATCTAACAGTCTAGAAACAGTTTAAACATGTGCCTTAATTTAATCACACAATGGGTTGGACAACTGAGGGCTCTTGAGAACTGCTATTGCTAAAGAATTTATTAATGTTGTAATCTGGGATGCCCAAATCTGCAGTAGCCAGGGCCACCTTTGCAATCTGATGAGAATACAAGGAACTCCATTAAACTCTGGTCCTGTAGCTCTTGAAGTGGAAGACACTGGTGTCAGTGGATGTTGGATCAGGCTTCTGGGAGCTCTGTAAATTTATTTACAAATTTCACTTTACAGGAGACACACAAGAGTGTCTGACATCATTATCCCCAAGAGGTTAATGGAACTTGCTTAATGCCAAGGTAATCGGTATACGTGGCGATCAATTTTTTTGCTCAGTTCTCAACACCAGGCAGAGATGGGTAGAAGCTGAGCTGTAAGATGAGCTGAGGCTACGGTTTGGGCACCCCTTTCTAATGCAAATAACTACACAAGAAAAATGTCAGCACGAGGCACTTGACAAAAGAGGGGAAAAATTCTACAGGTGAAATAATTCCAGTTGCTAGGAATGAAAAAGAAAGTTATTTCAAGTCAGGAAGGGTAAGAGCAGCGGATCAGATACACTGGAACATCAAAACGTGTTTCTTGTCAACAGCAGAAGTCTACGCAGCAGAGATATGATATTACCCCAAAGTCTCAGCATAAGTCTGCTATTTAAGGGATTGCTTCCCCACACCACTTGTGAACCCCTCCCTGAGCATCAAGAGGTCTCTCTGGGCTGGTGCCGTCTTCCTGGAAACAAGGCCGAGCAGTAAGGTGTAAAGAACCGTACACTATATTTGAAGAGACACGCTACGGCCAAAGAGTACGAAGCTTCCCATAGCATGTGAGGCTTAGCCTTTAGCACAACTGGTTCTGCCACAGGTCTATGTCACCAAAACCTAAGAAATATGCAAAAGAAAGGAAACAAGGGAAGAAAAAACAAAACTATCCGTTAGTAGAGAATAAAAAAGGTTGATGAAGAAACTAAAAGAAGAGTGATGTAAGTCCATTAGACTAGAAGGGAACATGTTCCAAACTCCACTCAAGTCTTCTGTGACTTCAGTGGGCTTTGAATCAAGCCCCACATGTCTTAAATATGTCTCAAAATGTAATGCCATCATACAAAACATTAACACACATTTTAGGTAAACTTGTTCAGAAATTGTCTGGTTTTATCAAGGCCATAGTGTATATGAAAGGTTCAGTTTTTGAGATGACTCCAAAGTTAGCTTAAGCTCCTAGACTCAGAAATGCCATATCAAGATTTTATCTAGTATGTTTTCTCTACCTCCTGGAGACTTTATACATATCCTTGCTAGAATTTGTGATGTAGTTTCTCAGCCGATTTCAAAGTTGCCCTAAAATATTTACAATCTTTTTAATGCATAAAATAGGAAGTGAAACTGCTTTGGTTTCATTTGCTTATTTACAACTGCGTTATTGATCCTTTCCTTGATGCCTAGAAAAAGTATAAGAGCATCAGGTAGAAAAATGGTGCATTTTGAACACAGAACCCACCACAGAAAAATGAAGGGCAGGGGGAAGCAAAGGAAACTGAGTAAAGAAACATGTCCTTAGTCACCTGTTTCATGCCCCCAAGCCACACAATAGATGAAACCTCAGCATTTCTAGAGCACAAAACACGTACCTTGCGTCCATTCCTCTGTGCTTCTTCAATAATCTTTTTCACCTCTTCGGCATAAGCACTTGCTGGATCTGGGTGGTCTTCCCTATATTTCCCTCTGTAGATATCTGGAGAAGGAGCCTGAAATGAGCAGTAATTTATTTATTTTTTTTAAAGCTTACCCATCTTTGAAACATTTACTTTCTTTTCTGTTACTCTGTGTTCTTGTCTTTCCACATAGATAGATAATAGAAGTTATTACAGCCTGAATTTCTGCATGGAATTCCAAAAATGCTTACAGGCACTTAAACTCAATCCAGTCCTGTAATGTGTCCAACACTAGTGGACCCAGTTGCTGAAAGAGCCATCATCTACCTCACCACCTTTCAAGACCCTCCTGCCTCTCCCCCAAGACACAATACTAAGTCCTCATCCATCATCTTATTTCAGATACTTGCAGAAAGATCCATTTCTGCAACTGGAGAATGGGGTTTTCCAGTCTGTCCCTTCCCTTCCAGCATCCTAGTAATGGTATGCATCTGTATGACCTTCAAGTTTCTACAAATAGTGTTTGGAGAATTTCAGGAAATAAGGGAAAGGATTAAAAGGTGGATACTTCTTTGGCAGTGTAAACAACACAAAGAGGTCTAGATAGGAAAGACCTGCTTGCTGTACGTCTCTGGGCTGGGAATGATTTCTGTCTTTGTAAGCTATCTAAGTTCAGGCTGAAATATCATAGTACCTCACTCAGATGGACACCAACAAGCCCTGTACCCAGATCTGCATGAATTTGTGGGCTCTGCCTTTCCACTTTTTGGAATTAAACCCAAAAGTCCTGCATATCTTTAGCCAAACCAACACACAGATATTGGCAATGTATTCAAACTGTAACTATACAATGCAGTGACTCAGGAAGCTTGAAACACTATGAAGGAAATCAGCCTCACATACTGAATACCCTCTCAGAAATCCAAAAGCAAACAATTTTGCTCTATTTAATTCAGTGACAAACAGCCAAGTGTATGTACTCTAGCATCAGCAAAACAGAAGTATATTTACACCAGAAGAGGGTAATTCAATATGCTGTGTAACATGCATAGAAATGACAAAAACAAAAAAAAAACCACACTTACCACATGCACATACTCCTTCTTGCTGTCCTTTCCCAGCTGATTAAATTTATAGGGACTGATGTCAATCAGAGATGTAACATGGCCATGGTAAGCACTGCATGAGTGTTAAATATCGAAGTCACTTTTAACCGAATGTATAGAAGAGCTAAATTTACAACTGTGCCCATAAATAAACCAGAATAAGCAACTGTATCTGCAACACAGTAGCACTGTTTGTGAAGGGATCTTGTTTTAATTTACTCAGTCTTTTTATCGAAGGCAGTGTGAAATTGCTGTTGACTTTTATTCACCAGGAAGACTTGAACTAGGGGGATTTTTCTCTTGCATAAAATCAAGTGCCAGCATGGGCACAGACCAAGATGATGTCCCCTGGATTGCACAGGCTCTAAGGTGGCTGCCCAAGCAGCCTTACGTAGCAGGTGAAGGGTGGCTCCATCTCCCTCATTTCCAACCTGTGGGCCCCACTCTGGCCAACCCAAGATTTGCAAGCTGGACCCCAACACCATTGTCAAGACCCTCAAGAATGTGTACCGCATTGGAAGCCACAGCACACTGCTACCTGCTCTGAAGGCCCCACAGTCTGGACTGTTTGACTCAAGCCACTCTCAGAAGGATGAATATTGTTTGAAAACAAAACTTTATATTGTAGAGTGTGCTAAAGCTGCTTACTGCTGAAGCCAATTTGGTTTAGAAATGAGGAAACTGAACCTTTTGAACCTAAAGTGTGTAGCAGCTTCATTCAAGGAAAAAACATTTACATTCAGCCATAAACTTGAAGTGAAGGGAACCTCAAGCCAAGTCAGACATGTCACAATCTCATAGTAGCACACACATAGAGAGAATGTTTTTTAACTCCATTGTATTCTTTACACCTTTCTAATAGCCAGTCAACAAAATCTGCCAATGGACACAAAGAAAGGATGGAAAGCCCACCCTGATTGATATGGTAGCTAATCTCAGCCACATGAGTCAAGGAGGGCTAACAGGGATCTGAGCACAGCTGAGTCCCACAAGTTTTGTGCTGTTCAGATCACGAAACATGCTCTTGAAGTTGCTCTAGCTGGATTTTCTAATCACAACCTGGGAAGAAGATCCAGCCCTAGTGCAGTGTAACTAACCCTACAGCTGCATCTGGGATAGGGAAACACAGAGATGTTCCACACTCCCCAAGGCTGATGGCCCTCTCAGTGCCTCCTGATTTTGGACATGCTTGGTTTTGTGTGCATATTTGTATGTATTGGAGAAGAGATGAATCAGTGCAGCACTGTTGCAGAGCTACAGGATCCTTCTTCTTGACCATTTTTTTTGAGTATTTGTACAAAAAAAAAAAAAAGTGTCCAGCAGAGCATGACAAACAGAAAACCCTTTTCCAGAGCAGCCCAGTGGCCAGACCACTCATTGATGTTTCAAAACAACATTCAAGTCTCTGGTCTGAATAGTTTTGGGAGGCTCTGTGGGAAATGTCCTGTAACAGGCAATTGACCTTCTGGGGAGAATAAAAACCGTATTTTTCAGAGATCCTCAAAACTTGTGTTTATCGAAATGCAGAAGAGGGATTTCCTAACCTGTTCTAGTACAAAAGCAACAAAGCTTTTCTTTCAGCAGGCAGTGGAGTACAAACAGCAGGGGGTTGCTGCATAGCCTTCTGAAATAATGGCAGGAGTTGCTGGTTGCATTCACAAAATCTATTCTATGTACTTACTTTTCAAGGGTGATCACGTCTTGGTACCCGTGGTACTGCCGAGCCAGTCGTAGAGCAAGATCATTTGCTTCAGACCTGCATAATAACAGATACAGCCCAAAATAGTGAGGAAGCACTTCCAATTAAAATAGTATTCTGACAGAGAAGAGGCACAGGACTAATGGATATAATAAATCAACACAGAAAGCTCTGTTACAATACAGATTACAATGTTAAGGTTGAGACTGTAAATGCCATGTAAGAGGGCAAAGAAAAAAAAAACAGCTCTTTGTATAAACAGCAAACAAAGAGATGCTTTCTTTTCCTCCCCCAGTTTGCTGGTAGACATTTACCGCCTCTTGGTACAAATGAGACCACTTTGCAGCTGAGAGCACAACACAGACACAAACCCTCGAAAAACAACAGTTCTCCAGCCCAGTCTCCCACCCTCCATGATGGCTCCATCCTCCCCAGTGTTTGCACCATCAGGCAGCAGAGGAAGCTAATCTGCTCACTCGATGAAGACTCAAATTTAGTACCCCAAGTTCTGGCAATGTAAGTGGTCACAGACTAAAAGGACCACCTAATGAGGACTAGTTGTTTCCAAAGGCATATGGCAATGTATAGCATTCACCAATCTGTACATAATGTTCACCAATCTGCAGTCTAATTTGCTTTTCTTGCTTCCCCTCCTCCCCATTTTTGCACGGGATTCAGCAGACCAGTGGCTGACCATCTCTTGGCTGTCTTGTATAGAACCATCACACTAAACATGACAGCTGCAGATAAGAAGGATTCTTTGAAATACTATTGCTGCTATTACTAAGCCCTACTTAATAAGATTTAGACTAAGCTGTTCTGAGTGTCCATCTCAAACAGAAGCAAAATAGTCATAATGGAAAACAAATATTCAGACATACCCAGAGTTAACAAAATAGCAAACAGAGAGTTTCTCGGGCAGGGTGGCAGTGAGACGCTGCGCGTACTGAACAAGGTTGTCATGCAGGAACCGGGAATTAGTGTTGAGAAGTTCCATCTGCTTTGTTGCAGCCTTTATCACATACGGATGACTGTGGCCAACTACAGAAGAGAATAATTAATTACTAGCAAGCAGTCAGTTATTGAACCACAGAAGGAGATTCAGAGAGGCACTGTGAATGTCATCACTTGGAAGAAGTGTGTTCTGATCCCTGTTAGAAATGCAGGAATAGAAGCAGTCTTAACAGCTGAATCCTTACCATGTGCAACGTTGTTGATACAGTCCAAGTATTTTTCTCCTTTCTCATCAAACATATATTGGCCCTGAGCACGCACTATCTTCAGAGGGTCCTTGGCAAAGAAAACTTTGCAGGAAGGCCTAAAAAAATTAATTATAAAAGAACACCATTTTAGGTTTCCCAGTTGTTCCCCCTCCTTTGAGTGTTGAGAGAGTTGATTTTATGCAGTTCTGGAGACAACTACCTCCCTCTGCAAAGAGCTTGTGAGTGTGGCTCAGATGGTGGTCAAGTGGGGCTCTTGCAGAAATTAAAAACAGCCCCTGTGCACCTCCCTAGGCACAGCAGGAACAGAAGTAGGCCTTCAATAAGGGTGTTTTCAAAGCCTGACTGTCTGCAAGTGGTCTCACAGGAACACAGTGACTGCAAGTCATTCCAGGTCCTTATATGTCCTGCTGCGTTTCTAGGTTGTAGCTCTGTTTGTTTACATGCCTTACGAACATGCATGGCCAATTAACTTGCTGGGAATAAAACTAAGTTGCTAAGCATTCTTTTATACTATAGCCAAAAATTTGTTACGCAATGGATGACTGTACCGTATAGAGGTCACATTCAAGAACAAAACATTAATGCCCTGCAGGCTTTATTTTCAGAGGTGCTGAGCAGGTCCTAAAAATCTCAGTATCTCATCCTGACTGATTTGGATAAAACCTTTAAAAGTGGCTTTTTTAGAAGCACTGGCTTCCAGAATAACTCTGACTCCTTGTAAAGTTATCCAAAGTACTCTCTAAAAACTCCTCCCCCCTCAGAGAACATGTTAGCTATGTAATTATGTTGAATGATATTACTGAGCACAAGGAAAGTTTGCTGAACTTTTAATTATGTTTATATGGCCCCAGATAAACACAGTCTTTTCCAGATAAGTCAGATAGTGCTGCTAATGCAACCCTATTGTCAGGTATATATTATGAGCTTGTAAAGCCCAAATGTCACTCCTAGAAAATGAAGTTGTTTACCCTCCTAGTTTCTAGCCCTGATGCACAAATCTTTTTTTACATCTTTGGCTGTTCCTGTGGTACACTTTATAAACAGTGCACATCATTATCCTTGGCCATGTCTTGACTACAGGTTTTTCTTCTGTTAGGTATCAGTACTTCATGTGATTTATTTTTTTTTCCACCCAGCACAGACCAATCTTATAATCCCTGCACAGGCATGAGTCCCTTAACTTTGAGCTGGCCCCTACAGATAAGTTTGTGCACACAGTTTATGAAGCCATGACTTTTTTGAATCTTTAGTTTTCTATACTTTGCACACATTTAGGATGCAGTCAGCAAACAGCCAATGCTGGACTTATTTTTCACTTGGCACCACATCCTGAAGAAGGAGACAATCGTGTAATATTGCCATGCAGTGGGGTCAGGTGCACACAGCCAGGACACAGCTCAGGTCACAGCTGCAGGCAGCCGTCCCGAATTCCCCCCAGTTTGACACCGCTTATGAAATCTCCTCAGCTCCATTTAACAAACATGCCTAGTTTTTAAGGACTTCGGCTGACTCACAGAACAAACCCCAATCCCGCACAGCAGCATTTTGGGATGGGTACCACACTCCGCCTTGCTCTTTATCTGTTCGAAAAGCGCCGGAGCGCTGGATGTGCCGTGTTCTAGTGAGGTGGCCCGAAGGGCTGGGAAGCTGACAGGCTGACGGGTCGTGTCCCACCCCCTCAGCCCCCGGGGGCTTGCGGCGGGGCCGGGGGACACTGCCCAGCCCTGACCCCTGCTACCCCCCAGGGCAGAGCTGAGCGGCTCCGGCCAGACGCTCCCACCGCCGGAGACCCTCCCCATCCCGCTCCCGGCTCCGCCGCCCCTACCCGATGTGCTTTCTCCGCAGGGCGAGGGTCTCCGCCTTGCTGTAGCGCTCCTCCATCCCGCCGGCAGAGTTTTTCCTCCTCCCTCCCTCCTTCCCTCCCTCCTTCCCAGGCGGGACGGCCCGGCCGCCCGCCCCGGAGTTTTCTTTTAGGCGATTGGTGTTCCCTGCTCAGCGCAGGCTCAGCCCGGGTGCCCCGGCGCTTGTCAGTGTTTTTAAGGGTGCAAACCGCGGCGAGCAGGCGGTGGCAGGAGGGGACGCGGGAGGGGCAGCGGCCGCCAGGCCGGGAGCTCGCTCGGTGGTCACAGCACTTCTGCTGCAGACACCCCTGGGGAGGGGTGCCAAGGGATTATTGATGTAGTCAAAGTTAGGGTTGTAATTCAAGGATCTTCACAGATCCTTATTTCCTAGAACCTGTTTGTAAGTGTAGGCGGAGATACGTACTTGTATACATCCATCAAAACCAGTATTCGTATTTCTGGTAAAGCAGGACAAACTGTGAGAGCTGTGGTTTTCTACATTTCCATACACCTATGCAGGAAATGGTTCCAGCCCTGGTACTTGGATGAGTTTGGTAAGCACTTTTTCAGTCTAGGCAGGACCTAAGTATAACTGGTCCTAGGATTTCTTTCTAATTAAACACGGTGCCAATCTAAAAGTGATTTGCTTGAATGTAGTATTCCTTCATGGTTACCCTTGGTAACCATCTCACTGGACATCAAAACCCGTAAGAAGAGGAGGGGATGATTTCCTGAGGGAGAAGGGCAGAATTCACCTCAAGAGGCATCGTTTTTCAAACCGGCGATGCTGCTGGTGGAGCAGCTCAGCTTTACCTGTTCCCTGCCACAGATGCGCCCGCTCCTTGTCTGGAGGCTGCTCCTTGAGCTGCATGGGCAGACAGCAGCAAAACCAGCACCCATGTCCCTGCTTTCCCATATGTAGCTCTTCTGTGCCACCTGCAGTGCTATGCTTGGAAGATTTTTCAGAGACCATATGTAAAGCTGCACAATTTCCTGTGCTGCCGATACGTGTCGTTTCTAGATCAGTATCCAGTAAGTCATCCCAAAATTTGCAGATGGAAGAAACACACTTCCTGATTTTTGTTAATTTTTTAAAAAATCTCTGCCAGTAAGTCACTTTTCTGTTTCTCTAGTCAATCATTTATTTTCCTACAGGTGTTTTCTTGATGTTTTTCAGTGTTAATTTTGAAGCTGCACAGCTTTCACATTTCTGCATTCCAACTCCTTTGGAAGCCTTGCCTTACCAGTTAACAAAACAGCTGTGTAGCAGAAGTGGTAAAAAGCACCAGCAGCTACACCTCCATATCCCAGAAGAGACAGCAGTTGCCTGTCTTCAGTGTCTGCTCCAGGCAGAAGGCATGGACTGAAAAGAAAGGACGGAGTTGTCAAAGCTGTCAGCTAAGGCCAGTATTGCACAGGCAGCAGTGGGTCTCAGCAAGACAACAGGCATTTAGATCTGCTAACATCCAAACTTGAGCCTGTCAGGAATGCTATCTGCAATGCTCTTCCATTTTCCCTGAAGCTCTGAAAGCTGGGGAATGGTATTTAGCACAAAGTTAGTTCAAGTTGTACAAATGATATACTGGACCTAATCGCACTCCCTTCATAGCAGTCATGTAAAGAAAGGCTGGAGCGCAGGCAGTAAATCATGAATCATGACTGGCTGCACATGAACCTTTGAGTCCAAAGGCAAATAAATGCCTTTGGAGTGATGACTTTCCCGGTCCATCTGGTGCCTGCCCTCTGTCCATCTGAGAACAGCCTTCTCCTTCCTCCAAAGCTACTGGGCATGCCAGTGCTGGAACCTTTCAGCTGTTTATCCTGACCTGCCTGGTCTTGCTTATCCAGAAGTCCTGGACCACAGACAGATTTAAGGGCTATGCAAGTTACTGTGCTTCTACTCCTTTACAAATTTGCATTTGTAAGAAGAAGAAAGTTCATTTACAGCTAGATTAGCAACTTCATTTTAGTTAGACTTGCTAACTTCATCAGGAAAGCTCGGAGTAGTAGGTGAAGTAGCTTGTTGGAATGGAGCAGTTGTTTCTCTGTTCCTTCACAGCCATGGAAAGACGCTTAAGAAGAAAATATCCCTCCCTCTTTGCTTACAGTTCTTGCACACTCTCTTGATTCTGTCAGCAGGAACAAGCCTGCCAAGTCTCATGTGTATAGCAGAGGAGGTCTCTTCCCAACGGGTTGCCTGCCCCCTCCCTGCACCCTGATTAGCAGAGACCCTACCTGAGACACAGGACTTTCTAGCAACTTGCCACTTGTCTTTTTTAGCCCTCTCTAATTCTTACTTACCTTCATAATGTTGTGGAGTGGCAGCTGTTTTTCCATAATACAGAGAATAATTAAAATAATTTGGGTTTTGTTTGCTTTTATTTCTATTTTTGTTTGGTTTTGTTTGTTTTGGGGTTTTTTGTTGTTTATTTTGGTTGTGGGTTTTAGGTTGGTTCTTTTTTTAGTTATTGTTTGTTCGTTTTAAAACATATTTTTTTCTCCATCCTGCTCCGTTTGCTTTCTGAACATCTTAATTGATTTATTTCCCCCCAAACTTATTTCAGGTCTTTGTCCTGGCAGGGTACCAGCAAGCAGCAGCCTGGCTGCCTATATGAATGATGAAAAGGAGTAAGTACTTCTAAGAGCTATTAAAAATATCCAAGTAAGCTGCATTTGTTCTTAAGGAGTTTTTCTACCTCTGAAAAACAATGCATTGCTAGTGCATCTTGGGAAGCAAACCTATTACAGATGGCCAGTGGAAAATGATTGGCACTAAAGATCTGTCTCAGTACAGAAAGATAAAGGTGGTCAAACTGCCTGCCCCTCCACAGGGAGAGCCAGCTGCTGGGTATTTTATCTGGAAGGGGAATGGACTTGCCTAAGAGTTGATGGGACGATCAGGCCTCTGAGTCATTTTAGCACAGGGTGTGTTAATTGGGTACAGACAGTTCAAGGGGAAGGCAGAAAAGAGCAAGATTATGTTACTAACTGAGCTTCATGGCAGCATTGCTTTCACAGAGCCATTTGCATGCTAGTTGAGTCCTGAATACATTTTACAGAGCATGGTTTCCATGCTGAATGCACGAGATCCAGATTTTAAAACGGCAGATTTATTCTATAATCATCTTTCTCACACAAACTGATCGATATACTCGTGAGAATCGATATTTTGTTATATTTTTTCCCATATTTTTCATCAGTTCTATAGCAACCAGAATCAATTACCTCACAACAGTCTTAATATGCCAAAGAGAAGAGAGTTCCTAAAAGCTTGCAAGAAGTTGCCAGGTACTTGTTAGCTCCAGGAGGGAGCAGCCAGATAAAGGAGATGCCAGTGAAAGCACGTGGCTGCTCAGTGTAGGTGTGGGCACTTGGAAAACTCTTTACAGCTTTAATCTGCACACAGAAAAATAATCAGGATATTTATTAGTTTTTGAACATTCTGTCTTGGCATAAGTACATGAGAAACCTGTTATTTATGTGATAGGAGCTGTGTTCACCTTTGATCTGAGTACAACTATACGAGGAGACTGTGATCTCTCTGAGTCGTGAACACTACAGGTCATGTATGTGTATTTGTACGTGTGCATATATATATATATATATACATTTATGCATATACTTATATATATGTGCATGTAGACATATATACATACACATGTGGAGCATCCAAGCTTAAAGTTTTGAGCAAGAATCCAAAACCCGCTTTATTTTCCTCCTGCGGCCAGGAGAAGGGGGAGGAGAATGCCCCGTGAGTACTCCGTCTGGAAACAAGAAGAAGCCAAGAGAAGACTAGTTAGTAACCCTGGGAAGACAGGAAGACACTGCTTGCAGGAACATGACCTAAATGTTTTGGCATTCCCTTGTTTGTTTTCTTCTAATATTTTTTTTGTGTGCAGTTACTACTTGCTGCAACATGAATACTTTGTCAGCTCTATGTTTTGTTTTGTTTTGTTTTGAAACATTTCTTTGTGTGGACTTATTATAATTGAAGCACTAGGTGAACCTGTGTGAGATGAGGACATAAAAGGCCTCTTTGCTGTGTTGTTTGTTGTTTTTTTTTACTTCTGTAGACTCCTTGTTACAAATGGGTAAGGATTAGAAGGTTTAGCAGGCCCACAAAGCAGAGCTGGATGTGAGTAAAGGCCTTTAAGTATTTAATTAAAAGCTCAATTAAAATAATTTAAAAAAAAAACAAGAAACGAGAGGGAGAAGTGGCAGGCATTTCACATGCAGCCCTCTGTGTGCTTTGGCATGTCATAAAATTAGAAAGAAGGCATTGGGATAGTAGAGAACACCAGAGGAAAGTCATGTCCCAGGAGTGCAGTAGGATGGGAAGGCTTTAGGACATTGCTTTGACTTTAGAGGGAGTGTGATACTGAACGGTAAGAGGGAGACAGCAAAAGGACTAAAAGCTTGCAAGAAGTTGCCAGGTACTTGTTAGCTCCAGGAGGGAGCAGCCAGATAAAGGAGATGCCAGTGAAAGCACGTGGCTGCTCAGTGTAGGTGTGGGCACTTGGAAAACTCTTTACAGCTTTAATCTGCACACAGAAAAATAATCAGGATATTTATTAGTTTTTGAACATTCTGTCTTGGCATAAGTACATGAGAAACCTGTTATTTATGTGATAGGAGCTGTGTTCACCTTTGATCTGAGTACAACTATACGAGGAGACTGTGATCTCTCTGAGTCGTGAACACTACAGGTCATGTATGTGTATTTGTACGTGTGTGCATATATATATATATATACATTTATGCATATACTTATATATATGTGCATGTAGACATATATACATACACATGTGGAGCATCCAAGCTTAAAGTTTTGAGCAAGAATCCAAAACCCGCTTTATTTTCCTCCTGCGGCCAGGAGAAGGGGGAGGAGAATGCCCCGTGAGTACTCCGTCTGGAAACAAGAAGAAGCCAAGAGAAGACTAGTTAGTAACCCTGGGAAGACAGGAAGACACTGCTTGCAGGAACATGACCTAAATGTTTTGGCATTCCCTTGTTTGTTTTCTTCTAATATTTTTTTTGTGTGCAGTT